TCTGCTCTGCTTATTAGAAGCAAGCAAGCACTCTCATCTAAGAGAGGCTTCCTGACTCAGCTTCAGCTGCAAAACCCTGCAGCTCATTAAGAGGTCCTGCCACAAAACACTTAAATGGTGTTGGTGAAAAGCTGAACGCATGCTTTTCGGTTTTCAGCCGTAGCAGGAAAAAAGCTGTGCCGTTTAAAAATGCCGGCTTTCTGGGCTGTCCTGCCAGGGCAAACTGACTGTTTGAGGCAGGAGGGCCGGCTACATAGAGAGGACTTGAGTGTTGTCTGTTGTAGCTCACTGGCTGGCAGGGACCTTGAAACGCCATAGAGTTGTGGCAGTAAACAAGGCTACAACCGGTACCTCAGCCATGAGGCTGGAAAGCTAAGGAATGGACTGGATCTACCTGGCAAAGCCACACGGCTTTAATCCTACTCATTGCTCAGTAATTTAAAGGCTCGTGTGGTCAGAAAAAGAGAGATATACAGTAAAGAGAGATTCAAAGACAAAGAAAATTTTTAAATGATTTACAGTGTTAAAAATGTATGCAGACTAAAAGTTAAAAGTTCTTAAAAAAAAGTAAGAAAAAAAAGAAGTTGTATGTGGTAGTACACGCCTTTAATCCCAGTGCCTAGAAGGCAGAGACAAACAGATCTCTGTGAGTTCAAGGTGTGGTGTGTGGTAGCAAACACCTTTAATCCCAATGCCTGGGAGGCAGAGACAGGCGGATCTCTGAGAGTTCAAGTAGAGCCTGATCTACAGAGTTATTCCAGGTCAAAGAGATACAGAGAATATAAAAATAAAAATAAATGAAATAGAGGTTAAAATAAAGCGTACCAAGATGGAAAATACACAGAGAATCTTGATACTGTATACTATTATGCTCTCTTTGAATTGTTTGAATGCTGAGGAAGGAGCAACAGCTGCCAAAAGATATTTGTTTATAAATGCTGTTGAACTAATCCATTGTAGAGATTTTGATGCCTTGACTTTGAAATTTGGATCTAAGGACATGATGCTTTCGAAAGGAGTTTCCTATTTTGTTTTCACAGAGGATGAGACCCTGTTCATTTCTTCTATTCCGATATGGTATGATGGACCACGCCCTCCTGAACGGTTGCTGTGAACTCCTTCAGAAAATTGCTTCGCTCAACTTCCAACTGAGATGAAACTAGCACACAGGTTATACCATGAAAGACCTAATTAACGACGCCCCCATTCAGCAGGAAGCAGTTTGGAGAGAAAAAACTACGCCCATGTTCCCAAATATTGTTTATTAATGTTCTTTTACATTTTACATTTAAAGGGGGATATGATATAGATATGAATGATTTGCATTGGTAAGGATTTTAAGGTCAATTTTGTTATATGTATATGTATTTCTGATCTTGATTAAGGTATTGTGATTGTGTAGTTCATTTAAAATGTAATGTATAATTAGGAAATATAGGTTGTTAATGAATAATCAATAATAGTTAAGTTTGTAGTCATGTTAGTTAAGATTTTCTGGATGTGTATAGATATATTTTAGATAGGCATTCTTCATATTTTTCAAAGATTATAGAATATGGCATTTTAAATGTTTTAATAACTTAGGACTTTTCATGACAATGAGACACTCTGCTCCTGGCAGCACCAATCTACTTCAAGAGGAAGATGGGCATCGAAGAAGAACCTTATGGAGTTTGATAGCCATTTGGGCAAGAAACTGCTCTTGCCTGGACTATTGCATAAACTGGACACAGAGAACCCGCAGAGAGAGGACTGCTGAACTTGCCTAAAGGTGAGATGATCTTTCGGGGTTCCTGATTCATGAAAGAGTCTGCGAGACATTCTTCAGGACAAGCAGATAGTGACTGCCTTTGAAATTTCCTGCTTTGTAGAAATGTCTGCTGGAAACTATGGGCCTGTAGGCCGAAGATGGATGCCCCAACGGTACAGAGGAACTTTGGGTGACTGTCCAGGCAGCGAGATGTCTCTGTCATTTCTAGAGTTTTCTTATTTCTTGTTTGATAGGTAATATTATATCCTTCTGGAGTCTTTGATGGAGTTGAAGAATGGTTAGTTATAGTTTTCCTTAGTTATGATAAAAGATAAAATATATATATATAGTAACTGTGATTCTTACTTGATAACTGTTTTGTTATATGTAATTTTACTATGTTAAAGTTAAAGCTTTTTTTGTTTAAACAGAAAAAGGGGAAATGATGTGGGAGTGATTTCTTATTAATAAAGAAACTGCCTCGGCCCTCATAGGACAGAAAATTAGGTACGCGGAGTAGACAGAGGAGAATTCTGGGAGAAAGAAGCTTAGTGGAGGAGTCGCCATGATGCTCCCACTCCAGACAGACGCAGGTTAAGATCCTCCCTGGTAAGCCAGCTCGTGGGCTACACAGAATATTAGAAATGGGTTAGAACAATATGTAAGAGCTAGCCAATAAGAAACTGGACCTAGCCGGGCCAGGCAGTGTTTGAAAGAATACAGTTTCCGTGTAATTATTTCGGGCATAAGCTAGCCATGCGGGCGGCCGGGTGCCGGGGATGCAGCCCTGCCGCTCCTATTTCAACACCACTTCAGTAAGTCACTCAGCTGATGCTGATGCTGACTGACTGTGCAGTCTGTGAGCGTAGTCTCCTGTTGAGTTTGTTCCTGGAATGATGGCAGTAGGCATCAAGGGTGTGCTTACCTCATTCCCCAGCCTTTTGCCAGACTATTTTGCAAGGTGGTGAATATGACTTTGTGTCTTCTTTAGCATGCTCTGCTTCATCCAGCTTTCTTCATCTTGTTCAGCTGAAATGTAGACCATCTCCTGAAGGAATGAGCTCAGCTGTGCTCCAGGCAGCTATTCTCCATGTCTGCTTTGCTCAGAATGGGAGCCAGAGCTAACCAACTCTTATCCCCTGAAATCTTACAGCCCTGTTTAAAACTCACTTAAAGACGATGCCCAACTTAGTTTCCCCCAAAAGGAAAGGTTACACACTGTGAGGATTGTACAGCAGAAAGCCAGGGGTGTGGTATCCTGCAAAATTGGCTACATTTTAACCAATTCAGTTTGGTTTTCAAAAGAAATTCTGGCCAGGTGGTGGTGGCACAGCTGGGCAGTGGTGGCACATGCCTTTAATTCTAGCACTTGTGAGGGAGAAGCAGGTGGACCTCTGTGAGTTTGAGGCCAATCAGATCTACAGAGTAAGTTCCAGGATAGACAGGACTACACAGTGCGACCCTGTCTCAGAAAAATAAAAAAAGGAATTCTGAAAATTCATAGTTAGAAACTCGCTGGAACAGACATGTAAGTATAGTTACATAGATGATCAATAAGTAGATGAGAGAGAAATACAGACACACATATACACAACAGACAGACAGACAGAGAGAAAGACACAGAGGAAGGGAGAAAACTTTCCCACTAAAAAATTTAAGGACATTGAAAAATAACTTATGAATTGGATTTTGGGGATTAGAAACAGAGACAAGCATTGGTCAGCTTCTTCCCAAGTGTGGCAGTTAATGGGACATAGCACAGGTGTCTCTAATAGGATTCCAGACCCCAAGGACAGGACAGATTACCCAGCTACCCTGTACTGTCTTTTCTTCTGTTTTTGTATAAGAGAATGCAAGGTAAGCACATTCCCAAGAGAATAATGGATGTTAGCTATTCCATACCCTCCCCAGCAATTTTCTTTCTAGGCAGGTAGGTTTTGGCTAAAGGGAAGAATCTTGCATTTGCTCTCCCAGAAGCCTTTTGTGACAAATGACAGCTGTATTAACCTTGTGGACAGGTGTGCTGAAATAGAGAATTATTGCATCTATATTACACTCGACGCTGATTCCGCTCACTCTAGGCAATTCCTGGCCTACATCCTTTAAACACTTTGAGGAAAAATTGTATCAGAGGATTTTTTTCTTCTTTTCTGATAGAGTAACTATAGCTAGATCATGATTAACGACTCCCGCAGCTGCACCCTTTCCAAAGTACACGAAGCAAATGAGGTAAAGAGGATCTTAAACTGAAAAAAGGAATATTAAAAATACCATTGCGCCACAGGAAATGCAGCACTGGTCATCAGAAACCATCCATCAGGTAAGGAAGCATTTGCCTAAAGGACTCTTTCATCCCATGTATATTTTCTCTCAGGAGCATCTATAACAATGTTCCATCTAGCACATCTATGGACTTTTGGATAACTTCACTCTCGGTGTCCAGATGACAAGGTATAAATTAATTGATGAGAATTCTTTGTTAAAAGTTGTCAGTCTCTGAGAAGAAATAGTAGGCCTGATCAATATTATGTTTCTGTTGATAGGCTGTTATCTCCATGAAGATGTATCCTTACCTCACCTCCCGGAGTCTTCAGTGACTTCAACTCTTTTTCAAAAGCATCTCGTTATACTCAACATTAAACAAACTTTAGTTGGATACTGGATGAATTTTCTTTTCCTTCTCACATATGCAAACATTCTTTGCTTATTATTGTTTTTTAAACATAGTTAAATATTTATAAAGTCATCTGGTTCATTTTTAATTTAAATCATCTTAGATGTGAGAATTGAATCTTTGTACTATCTCTTTCAAACACTTGCCCAAACAATATATTCTCTCCCTAGCAACCATTAGCAAACAATAGCTCCAGAGGGAGGGAAAGGGCTTTATTCTCACACTGAAAGGCTGCAGTCTGTGCAGCAGTGAGTTCAGGAGTGCAAATGTCATGTACCCAGCCATGTGCTGGCAGCACACTTCCCCAGATTTGGGCTTTTATATGCCCTGTTTACATACAATTTAGAAAATTTACAAATCGACTTTCTAATTAAAAATTGTTTCCTTTATTTATTCTCCTCATATATATTACATCTGAATTACAGTTTTCCCTCCCTTCTCTCTTCCCAGTCTCTTCCCCCACATCCCCTCTATCTTACATCCACTCCACATTCTTTCCCTTAAGAAAAGGGCATCACTCTCAAGGATATCAAGTTATAATAAAACTAGGCACATACCCTCAGATTAAGACGAGATGAGGCAACTCAGTATGAGGATTAGGTTTCCAAAACCAGGCAAAAGAGTCAGAGATACCCACCTCCCACTGTTAGGAGTCCTACAAGAACACCAATCTTTACAACCATAACATAAATGCAGAGGACCTAGGTCAGACTCACACAGGTTTCCTGATTGTCAATTCAATATCGGTGAGCTCCTATGAGCCCCAATTAGTTGCTTCTTTGGGCCATCTTCTCCTGTGTCCTTGACTCTTCCAGCTCTTACAACACCCCGCATTTTCTGCAGGGTACCCCAAGGTCCTCATAATGTTTGGTCTCTGCATCGACTCCAGTCAGTTGCTGGATGAAGCCTCTCTGATGACCATTATGCTAGACTCTGGTCTACAAGTAGAGCAAGGTATCATTAGGAATCATTTCATTGACTTTTTTCCAGTTATATTTGGTTCTATCCTATGTTTCTGAGCTATTTGGCCTCTAGGTCCTTGCACCCCAGGCAGTGTCAGGGGTGGAGTCCCTCACATAGCATGGGTCTCAAGCTGGACCAGTCACAGGCTGACCACTCCCACAAGTTCTGTGCCACTTTTACCACATCATATTTTCAGGCAGGTCAAGTTGTAGGTCTAAGGCTTTGTGGCTGGGTGGGTCCTAATTCCTCCAGTGGAAGCCTTGTGTGGTTACAGGAGATGACTGGTTCAGACTCCATATCCTATATCACTAGGAGTCTTTGCTAGGGACATCCTGATAGATTCTTGGGAGTTTCCATTGTACTAGTTTTCATCCTCACCCAATTCTATTCATCTCTCCCAATACTCTCTCCATCCACCTGCCCACCAGATACCTATGGTTCTCATTTCTACCCACACCTAGTACACCTGCAAAATCTGTTCTACTTCCCCTTGCCGGAGAAAGCCATGTGTATCTCTTTGAGCCTTCCTTATTACTTAGCCTTTCTGGGACTGTGCATCATAATATGATTATACTTTACTTAACAGCTAATGTCCACTGTTAAGGGAATACCTACCATGGCTGTGTTTCTGAGTTTGGGTTACCTGTCTCAAGGTGACATTTTTGCCCAAGTTACATTCATTTGCCTGCAAATTTTATAATTGTTTTAAACAGTTGAGTAAAACTCCATTATGTAAATTGCCACATTTTCTTTATCCATTCTTCTGTTGAGGGACAAGTAGGTTGCTTCCTGGATCTGGCTATTACAAATAAAGATGCTATGAACATACCTGAGCAAGTGTTCTTGTGGTTTGGTGGAGCATCATTTGGGTATATGGGCAGGAGTCGTATAACTGGGTCTTGAAGTACATCAATTATTAATTTTCTGAAAAACCAACATATTGATTTTCAAAGTGGCTATACATATTTGCACTCCAACCAGCAATGGAGGGGTATTCCCCGTGCTCCACACCCTTGCCAGCATGAGCTGTCACTTGTGTTTATTTTTAATCTTAGCCATTCTGACAGGTGTAGGACGAAATCTCAGAACTGTTTTGATTTACATTACCCTTATGGCTAAAGATATTAAACATTTTAAAATGTTTCTCAGCAACATTTGAGATTCCTTTGTTACAAATTCTCTGATTATTGAAGTTTTCATTCTAATAATTCTTATAATTGATAATATCCCAAATCAAAATGCAAAATTTTATAATTGAATTGTTTGTTCTATTTTAAATTTGCATTTAAAATAAAATTATTAATTTGATATTAGTTAAATCAGCTTTGCAATAAATTTATAGCATGTAAATGACACACTTTTTATAGCTCTGTTTTTTCCCTTCACCTACCCACTTCATCTATTTACAGAGTTTCTACCATTAACCACCAATTGAAACTATTTCTGTAATATTGTGAACTCCCTCTTATCTGTTGATAATAGGATGAAAGGTAAAAGAGATGAACTAAAGCATATAATAAAAATATAAATGTTCAGCTCTTGAAAGCACTATCTCAGAGCCTTACTCTCAAAAACTGAAAAATAAATAAGCACTTATGTACCCGTGACAGGAAATTTCAGCGCATCTTTTATGCATGAGTAGAAATTTTCAGTGCACTAAACTTAAAAAAGAAAAAAATTTGAGATTTATATGAATATAAAACAGTTTAAAATATAGAGTAGGGAGTTGGGGGAGAGAAGAGGGCCAAATGAAAGCGGAGTCAAGATTACCCTTAGCAGTCAAAAACACATTCTCATGACAAAGAGCTAAGAATTCTCAGTGCAGTAATAGCCCACTTACCTTTCTGCCCTGATGTTACCTCTATCTCTGGCAAGAGGACACAGTAAGCAACATTTATTACCACAGGAAGCAAAAGGTAAGGGCCTGGATGCTCCATCCATCAGGCCAGGCAGTGCCTAAAGTAGCTAGATGGGTAAGATCGTTCATGAATGAGTCCATGAAATCATAATTTCTAGTGCTTCCATAAAAGGGAGATTGGAAATGCGGCCAGAGAGCTTTATTTCCTCTGGAGGCGCAGTTATTGCAACTACAGCAGATCTCTCCTAGGTAACAAGCTGCAAGGCAGCCAAGGGATGGTTTGTCAGGTTTGGGGATGATCTGTGGTGATTAGAAATCAGTCTGGAGCTCCTCAGATGGGACTTTTAAAGCCTTGAATCCATACACAGGGTTGTTTATTCCAGCTAGCCAAAGCCTACGCAGTTTCTTAGGTCAGCTACAAGAAAGTCAGAGCACAGAACACACTGAAATAACTAAGGATTAGAACTAAACAGATGCTTAAATCCCATTTCTCCTAACCAATAGGGCAGCCGAGCAAATGACAATACACTTCACACCACCTGGATCTCAGCACAGCCAGATGGGGCCTCTAGAAAACTGAATCCCACTCAACTGGATGCCTACATGAAGATAGTCTGGTTGATGTGAGTAGCCATCAAAGATTTAACAGTAACTCCGGTTTTCCTTCTATCAGAAATCTTTAATAAATAAATAAAAAATAAAATAAAAAATAAAAATAAAAAATATAAAATAGCAATTTTGTTTAAGTTTGGAATGTGTTGGCATTACAAGGGAGATATTTTTGTATAAAATAAAGTCAACATGTGTTATCCTTAAAAAAAGATTTAACAGTAGGTTGTAAACTATTATTTACAATAATCTAAAGTTATTGTCAATAAGGACAAAACTTTAACATTATTCTGGAAGAGACTGCTGTTCACAAAATATATTCTTTATAGCAATTATAAATGAGAACAAAAATCACTTTTGAGAGCAGTTCTTTTGGATTTTCAAGCAAGGGGTTACTTCATTGTTGAAATTAAAAAAAAATCAATAAATTCTTGCCCAGAAGTATTTACCACAACTCTGATCAAGTGACTTCAGTGTAATGTGAAATCCATTCTTTCATGTTAGTACATTTTCTAAGAGCTCTCTCTGCTAAAACGCAGCCATAGTGTCTCAGATAAACAGCAGATCACCCGGCGGCTCCAAACCCACATTTATTTAGATTCCTTTCTAAGTGAGAATGCTCTCAAGCTGCAGCTTGTTTCTGAGTGTCCAGCCACAAGACTCAACTAGCAATTGCCCTGAGCACTAGGGCACCTTGTTCTCTGATGCCCCTTTGCTAGGAGAATCCACTAAATCCAAAGTCTTGGGATGATGCCATTTTCCCTCAGTTTCCTCTGTTTCCCTGCAAGGATGTGAACATCATTCATCCAGCTTCTGGGCTCCCTCTAGTCACCTGCTTTAGAGCCTGATGGGGAACGGCTCTATCTATACAACAGTTGCCCTTTCAGGTCAGCACTGAGTTGTGGATCAGTAAGGTGGCTTAGCAGATAAAAGAATCTTCCACCAAGTCTGAGAATTTGATCTGGGTTTGATTCCCTAGAACCTGCACCCTGACACAGAGAGAACTGTCCTCTGACCTCTCTATATATGTGTCATGGCATGTGAATACATATACATACAAATACATAAATAATAAAGTTCTGAGTTGTGTCCAAATGCTAAGTGTGGATTCTATATTTATGAAAGAAAAGACTACTAGACTAAAGTCAGAATTATAAAGGACCACCTGAAAAGGTTGACTAATATTCAAACCATTGCTATTTGTAACAATGCACACTTATAATTCTAGCAATCAAAATACCGAGGTAGATAGATCATGAGTTTGAGGATAGCCTGGCCTGGAAAATAAGACCCTCTCCGATTGTTTTTTAAAGGAAAAGAAAACTGGGAGAAGTAAAAACAGTTAATCATCCCCTTGTCTCCTCTTTCTCCAAACCAGGAGTCAATACTTATCCTTGAATAGCTGAAGATTCCTGTCTGGTTGTGTTCAAAATATAACCCCTATATGAAGTATCCCCTTTAGCCCTGGGTGTTTTTTTAAAGCAACTTAAAATTATCCAGGATGTAATACCTTTGTGCTATTTTAAAAATTTCTTAGATTTAGAAAATGTTTTTCTGTGGGTTAATCCTAGAGCCTTAGAGAGCAGTTTGCAAGTCTCCATTTGCCCCATGGACTTTGACATTTCCTTCTCTGCCCTGATTAATCACTAGGGACATGCAAGAAATGCTGACACATTTCGTGTCATTTTTCCAGAAACCACTGTGAAAAGTAGAAGCACAGGAAACTTGCTTTTGAGAGAACTCAAAAGAAAAAGGCATGCCTACCCCATCCAAGGAAAAGCTCAGTTTGCCTCAAGGTTTCTCCAGTTTATGCACCATGGATTGTCTGGCAATAGGAAGATTCCCTATGTGGTCCTCTGCCATATCACATGATCAATTAAGTCACACAAATTACTAAGAGAAAAATCAGAGTTTTAGGTGCAGTCTGGTTTGAGAATATGCATAACAGGTCAAGTTTAGTTCACACAGGCTGAAAACAGGAGGACAAAGTTTGGGATAAGGTGCACAAATTTTGACCAACATAGTTACTCATATACAAAGTTCCCAAAAATGAGGTAGAAAATCACTTCCCTTTACTTAGAAATAGGAAGATATTTGCAGAGCTCTTCATGATATTTGATCTTTAGGAAAGCTAAAGATGTTGACATGGATGGAAACATTGTTATACAGATAAAAGCACTTGCTAATCAGATAGAGAATCCACATGACACGTCCCAATTATCTGTTACTACAGTTTCATGGAGTCCAACGTCATCTTCGGCCTCCCTGGGCACCAGTCAGACACATGGTACAACAATTTACATGCACAAAAATATCCATACCCATAACAAATAAAAAATACGTAAAAGTCAAACAAAATGAAAATGTAAAGACATCAAGGCTTGGCACACCTGCAATCTCAACAGATAGAGGCCGAAGCAACAGAACTGTGGATGAAAGGCAGTCTGGGAAACCATGCCAAAGAGAGAAGAGAGAAAAGGAAGCTGTGTAGTCATCAATAATTTTCCAATTATTCTAGTTCAGGTGCTTGAAGTAATTTTTACTTTTTCAAAATATATTTCTGAATAGTTATTAGAGGAAAATGGTAGTATGAATTTGGAATAGTTGGTCCATCCCCACGGATTGCTCAGGCAGGTGATGGTTTCACTGTCCCCATGCCTTCTTGCCTGTGAGAGACAATCATTCTATAGTTAATGAAGTCAACATTCAGTCAGTGGCACTTTCCTGCTGGCTAAAAGTCCCAACCCACTTCATTACTCACTCTCTTAAGAAGGTCTTTACATAGGAAGAAATTTTACCGAAAGTTCAATCCAGAACCAAAAACAGTGATTTCCAAACTCCAAAAGTAGAAAAATCCTGTACACAAAGTAATTTTATTTTAGGCAGTACCTTTAACTTAATAAATTATTCTTAAAGAGGTCTGGAATTAAATTTAGTCTGAAATCTTTCATAAATATTTCACTCTTTCTAAGAAATAGCTGCAATTATAATATTTGGGTATATATTTAAATTCATAGTTAATAATATTCTTTTTCAATACAATGTGAGTTGTCAAAAAATAAATCTATTTAACTGCCTCTCAAAAGAAAGGAGATTAATCTTTTTATTCATGAATTCCTACATGGGCCTTTTTTTCCCCTCTGGAGAGTAATAGACAATCTTTTACAAGTAACACTTTCAAGTTGAAATCAATCCTCCGAGGAAACTGGCAAGAGTTCCTTTTTTCTTCACCTTTACACTTTTGCTATTCTTCACCTCTTGCAGCATAGATGAAGCTATTTCTGACATGTTCAGGTTGATGGGAGGGAAAACCTTAGCTGTATCACTTTATAGGAAGGAAGAGAGGGAGAGCCAGACTGTAGGAAAGTGAGTAAGGTCTTCCATAGGAATCACAATAAAGGCAGGTATTCCTTAGGAATACTAGAGATGGATCTGACCAATGCACATGTGCATGCAC